CAGATCACTTGATCTGCTGTTTGTTGATGAATCTGGTGCAACGCATCGTTCCAACAATCTGTCCGATGGTATCATTATTCCATTGATCTTGGATGGTTAGGTTGGCCGTTTTTTTCAGGCATCTCATCTTGCAAGTGGTGATTTTGCATAAATATTTTGCATAAATGGACAAGATATGTAATCCAAAACCTAATTACTCCTAATTCCTTGTAGTTCATTCATACACATGCGCTGTATACCACTGACACTGCCCCCGAAATCTATCCACACAGACCATGATAAAAAAAGTAAAGATCCCTTTACACGCCCTTAGGCGCATTGGACAAATGGGAAGAGCACCCATATTTTTACAGACCAATCAACACCCGGTGGGTAATGTGGTCAGCATTACGCCGGCCGTCTTTACTTTCCCAGGACAGCCCATCCTTGTATCCATTTGAGGCTGAGTCGACCTGCGACGTCCCAAACCACTATAAAAATCGATCGCGGTACGTTGGATCACGACCATGATACTGTCCCCCAAATCTTTCTACACAGACCATGATACTGCCCCCCAAATCTTTCTACACAGACCATGATACTGCCCCCAAAATCTTTCCACACAGACCATGATACAGCCCCCAAAATCTTTCCACACAGACCATGATACTGCCCCCAAAATCTTTCCACACAGACCATGATACTGCCCCCAAAATCTTTCCACACAGAACATGATGCTGCCCCCAAAATCTTTCTACACAGACCATGATACTGCCCCCAAAATCTTTCCACACAGACCATGATACTGCACCCAAAATCTTTCTACACAGACCATGATACTGCCCTCAAAATCTTTCCACACAGACCATGATACTGCCCCCAACCCCCCCCCCCCCCCCCCCAACCACCTGGCAATCATAGTCTCTACTCCTATATTCTTGATCCAGAGATCCTTAGCGGCCTTAAGCAGCCTGAGTTGCCGAAGGTATCATTTAAAGTGATTCCTCCCCTTTGGTCTGAGGTTGAGGAAGTTGTGAAAAGAGCCAGCGGCAAGTCTGCTCCGGGTCCGAATTGTGTTCCGTAGGTTCTTTACAAGCATTGCCCGAAAGTCCTACGAATGCTTCATCGCCTCCTGAGGTTAGTGTGGAGCCGAAAACACAGATGTCCGGAGTGGCAATAGGCCAACGGGGTCTACATTCCCAAACAGCAGGACTCGAAGAGTCTTTCCCAATTCAGGCCCATCTCGCTGTTGAATGTTGAGGGCAAAATATTCTTCTCGGTCATGGCTCGCCGGCTCACACAGTAATGATGGCGAATAAGTACATCGATACGAGTGTTCAGAAAGGTGGATTGGTGCACCGCTTTGCCTGACTGACGTGGCTCTGTATTGTAAGGAGGCTAAGCTGGTACTCCCGTTCAAATCAATAACCGAAGAGTTTGAAGTCGGCAAAGTAAGACTCGCCATGCTTTTGCTCAAGTCTTCAGACCCAAATGTCACCGCTGTCCAGCCCGCTCTAAAGACTGGTCTGTAGTGGAAGGTCCTAGACGCTATCGAATCTGCTCAGAATGCACTAAAATTGAGAGAGATAATGGGTTACACTCAAACCGACCGTCGTGGCCTAGGTCACGGGAAAGTCAGTTGGTGGTCCAAAGCCACAGCCAAAGAGCGTCAAGACATAGTGATACAGCAGATTAGGGACAACGAAAACGAGGTTAGGGTTCAGAAAGCAGCCCAACAGTCGCAGCAGGGCCATTGAATTAGCCTGGAGAGCGCCTTGCCAAGAGTACTCACATGGGGTGAGATCTGGCGAATGACCCCACTGCGACTGAGCTTTATCGCTCGTTCTGCGTACGATGTATTACCGTCTGGTGTCAATATGGTAAAGTGGAGTGCGACTAACGACCCGACATGCCCGCTATGCAGAGCGAAACAGACACTAGAACACATACTGTCCGCATGCAGAAAAGCCCTAGGACAGGGCAGATACACCTGGTGCCACAACAAGATGCTAAAAGAGTTTGCAGCCGTTGTGGACCAAGCTAGGATGAGGGCCAACGCGCGAGGGCCAGTCTTAATAACGTCCCCATACGCTTCCTCAAGACTGGGCAGATTCATAAAGGAAGTTTCAACAAAGTCACATACGCTCCATCTCTGCTAGACAGTGCGAGGGACTGGTTACTGGCAATTGACCTGCCTGGCCATGAAAAGTACCCTGAGTTAATCCGGAAGACCGGCCTGCGACCTGACATAGTTCTCCACTCTGCGGAGAAACGTCAGCTCATCCTGATTGAGCTGACCATGCCGTAGGAGTCAGGAATGGACGAAAGCCATATGTACAAGCTCGAGAAGTACTGTGACTTAGCAGCCTGTCTGAGGAGAGACGAAGTGTACACAGTACGAATCTTTGCTGTCGAAGTAGGCGCAAGAGGTCTCGTTTCTACTTCACTTTACAATGTGATGAAACAACTAGGCTTACGAGGTAATGAACGCAAACGGACACTTAAACAGCTGGGCGAGGTTGCTGAGAGGGCCTCGAGCTGGCTCTGGACACAACGGAATAAGGTGGGGGATGGGCCTCGGTGAGCTGGTCCGGGTGTCTAGTGGAAAAGAGTTTCTCATCCCTTAAAGTCCATCGTGTCCGAATTGTCTGCCAGTGTCCCTCTGCCACCTGCTAACAAAGTCCAACATGTGTCTGGTAAACCAATCGTAAGCTTGCCACTTGGTCGTTCAGGTATGCAAACTGCTTTAAATATGCTACCGCAACGACTTCTTATCTCACAGTACCTTTTGTAAAGTCACAAATTCATCTTGTCCCTGTCCGATAACATCCGGTAATTCGTGCAGCAGGGGAAACCAACCCTGAGCTTCATGAACTCAGGTGGGCCCACTCTCTGAAAATGTATAGGAGCTCGTGGGCCGAAACATTTGTCGACAGGTTACTTCTACTGACGATTGGTAGACCCCTGCTGTACATGCTCCCCTGTGGAGTTTATTCTTATTGACCTCTGGCTCTTATGTCTGTACAGATTGGTGAAGGAGCCTTTGTTTTTGCATGTATTTAATTAGCACTAACCATTCTCAAATGACAGAATTGTATGGGTTAAACTAAAGTGGTGTTATTAAATGTTCATTTTTCTTTGCTGTTTTTTCTGGCTGTGCATGTTTTCTGAGGTGTTTGAATAGACATTGGGTGACTTGAATTTTACTTTTATGTATTGTTATAGTTGTTAATATACATATTTTGATTAAGTAAATATTTGTTTTGTGTAAACAAGAGTATGTTTTGCATTAAGAAGAGAAATTACCACCAGTTCTTGGGTTTTTGAACACTGATGTTGTAATATTATAATGTCCGCATGATGTTTATCACATCACCTATCAAGGGCTGATTGGTCTGTAGAAATATCAAATAATCAAGTATCCCACTGATATGAAGAGGGTCTTTAGTTTACTTAGTGCCAGCAGCTTAGAAGAATGGCTGGCTTGATGATTACAAATGCTGGGCTCCGGTGTGCGTGGCTGAGGTTACAATCTGTAAGGTTGTAAAATCCTCTTGCACATTCTGTGGCAACAGCACTAGCCATACGGCTTTGAATACTCAGGCTCAAAGACCTTCTGCCTACAGCACAGAAGTGGTGAATACAGGTAGCAGTTTTAATGGCAGTAGTAGTAACGGACGGAATCAGGGATCTCCTGTTGAACCCCTCTGGGTCATACATGGCATGTATCTAGTGTTTGTCTTTTCTGTTGTCAGATATTCATGTTTGTCCAATATACTTGATCAGTTAATATTTTTTACAATTTTATTTTAATTGCATAGATTATGTGTTAATTATCAAAGCTTATAAACTATAGATATTTAGTATAAGTTTAGGTATCAACAAAAGAACAAGAGTGGAAACTAATTAAGTGTGAAATGAGATGTTTGAGAAAAGCAGTCAACATAACAAGAAGAGACCATAAAAGAAATGAAGATATCATTAGAATGGTGGGAACAACACATGTAATTAGATTTATTGAAAAAACAGACTGAAGTGGTTTGGCCACCTGGTCAGAATAAACCCAGCATCACCAGGGGCAAGAGCCTACAACATAATAATGAAAACGTCTCCCCGTGTGGGTTCTGGGGCCCCATTGTGGGGAAAACAAGAATAGACTCACTGCCTCCCCAAAAGCATGTCGTAAGAGTCGACTAATTAGGGAGCTTCCTTTGAAGTCGGAGTGCATCTGCCGGAGAGGCAAGGAACCGACAGTCTGTATTCAAGAGAATGAGATCTGTAAAACTGATGCACACGCAACACTCAGGTTCTGGAGCAGGACTGCAGTTCAGTAGTGGACGAGCAACCAGAACCTTCCGCCAGAGTGTAAAGCTGGTGAACGCGAAGAAGAAGAAGAAGAAAACGTCAAGGTGCAAAGAAAGCCAAGAAGAATATGGTTAGATGGAGTTAACAACTTGCTGAAACTCAAACAAAATCACCATGCAACGAGCTTACGTGTGCACACTATCCCGGCAACCGATCATTAGCTGTGCCCGTGACGCCTAACAGCATTAAACAGAAGAAGATAGATAAAGTTTACTTTTCAAATAATTTTGATAATCAGATTGTGTTATCTATCTTTGGGAATATTTAGAATGAACTGGGTTATTTTTTTGCTTAGTGGTTTATTGTAAACATGAATTGAGGACCTGCCCAGATGTGGCACAAACTGGCATGCGACTGTTTTGTGTATGATTACATTCATCAGATGAGATCTCATTGATGAGTGACTGTCCTAAAGTTTAATGCTGTCTCAGTGCCGAGGCAGAGAATCCCAACCTGGAACTGCCCATTCAGCAGTCTAGTGTTTCTTAGTGGGTTGATTGTGTACTTTTGGGATGACCTATGATTGTTGCTAATGATAAATATACATTATGTAATCACACAGTATACCATGATGTCATTTTAAATAATGGAAACTTGGTAAGAAGCAAACATTAGCTTCAGCCAATTAAGTAACCTCAACCATGTCTGCATAACAGATGACCCAAAGTTGATATCACAACGGCAGAAGGACATGTACGAGGACATTTTGGAAGAACGCAGGTCGGTCAGTGATCTGCGGTATGTTTTAAAAACACGGGATGTGCCAGTATTTAAGTTCAACAAGTCACGGACTCCAGCTCAAATCAAAGAGCATGTGATTAACAGTGACCGGGTGCGGTTTGCCATTGATCAGGTAATACTCAATGTCTTGCTTGCCTCTTGACATGTTTGTTTTGGAAAAGATTGAATACCACTTCAGTCTGCCATGCTTCATTTACATTTAAACACATCTCAGGGTCATTTTTGACTGACAGGGTGAGTACATCTCAGGGTTATGTTTGACTGACAGGGTGAGTACATCTCAGGGTCAAGTTTGAGCATTTCTCAGCAGGGATTAAATAGGAGTGTTTCCGCCTTGGAAGTTGGAGTGCATTCGCCTGATAGTAGTGGGCACACATTCATACCTGAGATTGTGATGAGTGCAGTGAAGTAGTAGTGGGCACACATTCATACCTGAGATTATTAGTATCAACCTATCAGGCTTGTCAGGGGTGACTAAGGAATGTTGGCCTGAGATTGACAGCCACACCTCGTAGAAAACTATAGCAGCAGACATGACCAATCATAAAACGTTTGGTGTCAGCTGGTTGCGTGTTTATGCTCTGTTAGGGGTTGAAAGGCAGAGGAGAAATGTACTGGTCACCTCACTTGCTCAAAAATTGTATGTTAGCAGTTTATGATGTTTGGTTGAACCTCAGATCGTGTTGTCATTGAAAAGGGCCTGCTGGGTGTTGGGAACAATGAGACCACAGGCTGCTGCATGTCACTGTGCAACTATGGATCCATAAATGTTAGCTTCACTATCATAGCAAGTCCTTTCAGAACATTATTTCCTTGATGGCCTGCGGGAAAGACTTCCTTACTCATTCCTCTGTTTCCTGTATTTTTATGGCCAGTTTGTCTCCATTATCCTGTATTGTCCCCCCTTTTGTTGGGTGATCCCTGACTTTTGATCCCTTTTGCCCTATAAGAATCGTTAATTGAAAAAAAAAATACAAAATCTTTTTTCAAAAGTGCATTAAAAGAAATACATCATTACAAATCTCTGAAACTCTACCCTCAGAAACTACAGCAAGAGAAAAAGAATCAGAATACATTTGCAGCTTTGGTTAGTTTAAACAAATATCCAGGGTGTTGAAACCTGTGGTCCCCGAGTAGAGGAGTCAGCGGGATGGCCGCTGTGACATCCAGGCAGTCATCGCAAAAATTGATTGTTTGATATTTTGTAGTCAGTATTGTGAAGGTTTTTCTATTTTTTTTTACATGAAGGGAAATAATCACTAAATACACATGAAGCATTATTGATGAGACCACAGAAATTGTAAACACGTGTGCAATGGTTTGTGTTTCAGGTGTGCGCTGAGACAAAGCTTCCAAGGGAGGAGGTTATGGCAGAAGCCACATCAATATTGAATGAGATGGCTCACACTCAACATATGTATGCCATACGAGGTTTTGCTTATTTTCTGGTGAAAATTTTCAAAGCCTTATATAAGAGAGTGTACGTCAACGTTGATGGAATTCAAAAGGTGACAAAACTTTTTGTTATGGTGTTTTTTTAAATGGTCTTTCTTACAGTTTGTGTCTAAAGTCTTCTTCTTCTTCTTTGTTCACATGTAGTAAGCTCAGGAGGACAGTCCTGGTTGTTCACATGTAGTAAGCTCCGGAGGACAGTCCTGGTTGTTCACATGTAGTAAGCTCCGGAGGACAGTCCTGGTTGTTCACATGTAGTAAGCTCTGGAGGACAGTCCTGGTTGTTCACATGTAGTAAGCTCCGGAGGACAGTCCTGGTTGTTCACATGTAGTAAGCTCCGGAGGACAGTCCTGGTTGTTCACATGTAGTAAGCTCCCGGAGAACAGTCCTGGTTGTTCACATTTAGTGAGCTACCGGAGGACAGTCCTGGTTGTTCACATTTAGTGAGCTCCCGGAGGACAGTCCTGGTTGTTCACATTTAGTGAGCTCCGGGAGGACAGTCCTGGTTGTTCAAATGTAGTAAGGTCCAGAGGAAAGTCCTGGTTGTTCACATGTAGTAAGGTCCGGAGGAAAGTCCTAGTTGTTCACATGTAGTAAGCTCCGGAGGAAAGTCCTGGTTATTCACATGTAGTAAGGTCCAGAGGAAAGTCCTGGTTGTTCACATGTAGTAAGGTCCGGAGGAAAGTCCTAGTTGTTCACATGTAGTAAGCTCCGGAGGAAAGTCCTAGTTGTTCACATGTAGTAAGCTCCGGAGGAAAGTCCTGGTTGTTCACATGTAGTAAGCTCCGGAGGAAAGTCCTGGTTATTCACATGTAGTAAGGTCCGGAGGAAAGTCCTGGTTGTTCACATGTAGTAAGGTCCGGAGGAAAGTCCTAGTTCACATGTAGTAAGCTCCGGAGGAAAGTCCTGGTTGTTCACATGTAGTAAGCTCCAGAGGAAAGTCCTGGCTGTTCACATGTAGTTAGCTCTGGAGGCAAGTCCTGGTTGTTCACATGTAGTTAGCTCCGGAGGCAAGTCCTGGTTGTTCATGTCCGGAGTTAGCTCTGGCTTTGTGAGGCAAGTCCTGGTTGTTGTTCCTTGCAGCTCGGGCACATCCGTAGGAAGCCCCTAATTAGTTGACTCGTGTGACATGCTTGTTGGGGAGGTAGTGGGTCTGTTTTTGTTTTCTCTACAGTGGGGCTCGAGGACCCCACATGGGGAGGTGACTGAATTCATGTGAAGCCTCAGTCTGATTGATTGACTTTAAACTTGGTGATGAGTTTTTCACGGCACAGTGGGTATGAGTTTTAACTCCTTCAGTGCCAAGCAACCCGTCATGGGTTAGTTGATTTATATTTATATAATATTCTTTTCTTACCTCCTTATGCCATGCTTATTTGTTATGTTAACCCAATCTGAACTGGTTGTTAATTTAACTCCTCTGCTTCATTATGTTATTATTTTAATCCCTTCAGACCGAAATATCTATTGGTTAAAGGTAGGTAGTTGTACCCCACCATGTTTGTAAATAATCAATCAGTCAGGTACCTGCTGGACGCTGAAGGTTGGCCTAGCAGATCTCCAGCATACTCTAGATATACACTTTCTTAGACTGCTCTTTGTCCAACTCTTGATTTTGTCATGCCACTTATGTTGATGTCTGCTTCTTGATTGCTTGCCTTCAGCTTATCCCCCAGTAAGGTTTGTATAAAAGTGATCATCTGTCTTTTATTTTTTGTTTTTGTAAATTTTTTTCAGCAAATGTCTTTTCATTGTTAGTCTCTTCGATACCACCTGTCTGTTGTATGTGATTGTTGTAAATTCTAGCCCTAACATAATGGTTCCCGGAGTTTGTTATTTAACCTGGGTCTGGTTAACAGACATTTCTGAGACATATGGTGTTATTTTAATGGCTGTATAGTTTCCGATGGATAAAAGACTTGGCTAATGAAGACACTGTTTTCATGGGTCTTTTGGTGGCCCTGTGGTGAAGTGCTCTTGTTCCTTCAGGGAGGCACTATCATCATGTGGAGACAACAGTTTCAAATCCTGGTATGGCCACTATTCTAAAATCTGCTTCTTTGAGAACAAATCAGTGCCTGTTCCTTATTTTCTCATGTTCATGTTATGTTTACAGTAAAATAATTCTTCACATACGAGTGAATATCCAGATTTGGGAGTAACACTTTAATGTTTATGCAGTTTATTAGCAAATTCAAAAGTTATAACTTTCTAGGTTAGTTTATCGCTCAGAAGCTCTAGGTTCTTATATGGTGCTGAACAAAATTTGGAAGAACAAAATGGCATAAAATTGGACATGTACACACAAAATATCAACTTTGTACAGTTTTTTTTTTCTGACTGTAGCTGTAGCAATTTCAGTGCAGCTTAGGCATAGTATGGTACTGCTTGAAACAGTCCTTAGGATGCACATGTGCGTAACTGTCATATCCTTGGCACATGTGCGTAACTGTCATATCCTTGGAACATGTGCGTAACTGTCATATCCTTGGCACATTTGCGTAACTGTCATATCCTTGGCACATGTGCGTAACTGTCATATCCTTGGCACATGTGCGTAACTGTCATATCCTTGGCACATGTGCGTAACTGTCATATCCTTGCCACATGAGCGTAACTGTCATATCCTTGGCACATGTGCGTAACTGTCATATCCTTGGCACATGTGCGTAACTGTCATATCCTTGGCACATGTGCGTAACTGTCATATCCTTGGCACATGTGCGTAACTGTCATATCCTTGGCACATGTGCGTAACTGTCATATCCTTGGCACATGTGCGTAACTGTCATATCCTTGGCACATGTGCGTAACTGTCATATCCTTGGCACATGTGTGTAACTGTCATATCATTGGCACATGTGCGTAACTGTCATATCCTTGGCACATGTGCGTAACTGTCATATCCTTGGCACATGTGCGTAACTGTCATATCCTTGGCACATGTGCGTAACTGTCATATCCTTGGCACATGTGCATAACTGTCATATCCTTGGCACATGTGCGTAACTGTCATATCCTTGGCACATGTGCGTAACTGTCATATCCTTGGCACATGTGCGTAACTGTCATATCCTTGGCACATGTGCGTAACTGTCATTTCCTTGGCACATGTGCGTAACTGTCATATCCTTGGCACATGAAGTGGTTCCTCTGTGTCAGACACTCATCAGAACTGCTAGATTCTCTAACAGCTGACCACTCGGCTATCGTTGGCGTCAATTCACTTTCTGAAACAATTAAGTTTTCATTATCGTAATTAGAATTAAAAACATCTGGCTGAAACACTTTCAGAGTTTCAACCGCAGAAAGGGGCATTTTGCGGCCTGCACATGTGCCTTAAACATTGCTTTCATAGCTGGTTAGAGACAGACAGAAAATTCACTGTCTGAAAATGAAGCTCGCAACAAATTGAAAATTATTGCTTCTAAATAAATACACAAAGACTTGTGAACAAACAAAAACGTAAACTTTCCTGCTATTCTAAGTATAGTTGCAAACATTAAAAACGAGTACAGAACAGTATGCGAATCAGTAGGTGTCAGACACATGATCCAAGCAGACTATGTTGTTTGAGCAAATTGGAACATCTCAGTCAACACTGCATTGTTTGAGCCTGGAAGAGTTAGCTCAAATTACCATATTTTTCTGTTGTTAAGACTCTATATATTTCTCTGGGTTTTAAGTTTAATGGGGGGGGGGGGGGGAATAATATTTTTTAAATATTGATTTCTTAATTTGGGCTAAACATATATATAAATAAAAATGTGACTACTTGCCAACAGGTTCGGGGTATGATCAAAGAATACCCAGTTCTCCTGATGCCATCTCATCGCAGCTACATGGACTTCCTGTTAATGTCATATGTGTTTTACCATTACGACCTCCCTCTACCTGTGATTGCCGCTGCCATGGGTAAGCTGGTATGGTACACATATCTTTTGTTGTTCTTCATCAGCATCAATACTGCCATCAATAAAGTTGTCACCTTCTTCGTCAGCATCAATACTGCCATCAATAAAGTTGTCACCTTCTTCGTCAGCATCAATACTGCCATCAATAAAGTTGTCACCTTCTTCGTCAGCATCAATACTGCCATCAATAAAGTTGTCACCTTCTTCGTCAGCATCAATACTGCCATCAATAAAGTTGTCACCTTCTTCATCAGCATCAATACTGCCATCAATAAAGTTGTCACCTTCTTCGTCAGCATCAATACTGCCATCAATAAAGTTGTCACCTTCTTCGTCAGCATCAATACTGCCATCAATAAAGTTGTCACCTTCTTCGTCAGCATCAATACTGCCATCAATAAAGTTGTCACCTTCTTCGTCAGCATGACCATCAGCATCAATACTGCCATCAATAAAGTTGTCACCTTCTTCGTCAGCATTACCATCAGCATCAATACTGCCATCAATAAAGTTGTCACCTTCTTCGTCAGCATTACCATCAGCATCAATACTGCCATCAATAAAGTTGTCACCTTCTTCGTCAGCATTACCATCAGCATCAATACTGCCATAAATAAAGTTGTCACCTTCTTCGTCAGCATGACCATCAGCATCAATACTGCCATCAATAAAGTTGTCACCTTCTTCGTCAGCATTACCATCAGCATCAATACTGCCATTAATAAAGTTGTCACCTTCTTCGTCAGCATTACCATCATCATCATCAGTAATCATTTTTCATCGCCAATAATGGTATCATTATTATTATCATCTCATTATCACCATTACCCATACTGTTATTAAAGAATCACTATCTTCCTGTGTGGGTTGCGAGGCCCCATTATGGGGGGTGGGGGGGGGGGAGTAGACCCACTGCCCCCCAAACAAGCACATCATTAGCATTGACTAATGAGGGGTTTTATCAAAGTTGGAGTACATGTGCCCAAGAGGCAAGAAACCAACAGTCTGCAAACAGATAAGCCACATTTATAAAGTGGATGTGTACACAACATGAAAGTTTTGGGACAAGACTAGAAGTGGATGTGTACACAACATGAAAGTTTTGGGACAAGACTAGAAGTGGATGTGTACACAACATGAAAGTTTTGGGACAAGTCTAGAAGTGGATGTGTACACAACATGAAAGTTTTGGGACAAGTCTAGAAGTGGATGTGTACACAACATGAAAGTTTTGGGACAAGTCTAGAAGTGGATGTGTACACAACATGAAAGTTTTGGGACAAGTCTAGAAGTGGATGTGTATACAACATGAACGTTTTGGGACAAGACTAGAAGTGGATGTGTACACAACATGAACGTTTTGGGACAAGACTAGAAGTGGATGTGTACACAACATGAAAGTTTTGGGACAAGTCTAGAAGTGGATGTGTACACAACATGAAAGTTTTGGGACAAGTCTAGAAGTGGATGTGTACACAACATGAAAGTTTTGGGACAAGTCTAGAAGTGGATGAACAGCCAAAACTTTCAGCTTGAGTTTACAGCTAGTCGACACGTAGAAGAAAAGAGAAGATAATCTCTATCACTAGCACCATATTATCACCATTGTCAGGACCATTAGGACCACTGTTACAAACATCATCACTGTTATCAACATCACCATCGCAGTTATCAACATCACCATCGCAGTTATCAACATCACCACCACAGTAGTCTGAGCCATCATCATTATCATCACCACAACTGCCATTACATTACCATCACTATCACTTCTACAGTCAATTCCACTGCCACAGTTTCTATCACTGTCACCACCGCCATCATTACTGTAGCTAGCAACTCTACTGTCACCACCACCATCATTACTGTAGCTAGCAACTCTACTGTCACCACCACCATCATTACTGTAGCTAGCAACTCTACTGTCACCACCACCATCATTACTGTAGCTAGCAACTCTACTGTCACCACCACCATCATTACTGTAGCTAGCAACTCTACTGTCACCACCACCATCATTACTGTAGCTAGCAACTCTACAGTCACCACCACCATCATTACTGTAGCTAGCAATTCTACAGTCACCACCACCATCATTACTGTAGCTAGCAACTCTACAGTCACCACCACCATCATTACTGTAGCTAGCAACTCTACAGTCACCACCACCATCATTACTGTAGCTAGCAACTCTACTGTCACCACCACCATCATTACTGTAGCTAGCAACTCTACAGTCACCACCACCATCATTACTGTAGCTAGCAACTCTACAGTCACCACCACTATCATTACTGTAGCTAGCAACTCTACAGTCATTACCACCATCATTACTGTAGCTAGCAACTCTACAGTCATTACCACCATCATTACTGTAGCTAGCAACTCTACAGTCATTACCACCATCATTACTGTAGCTAGCAACTCTACAGTCACCACCACTATCATTACTGTAGCTAGCAACTCTACAGTCATTACCACCATCACCATTAGTGTAACTGTCACTGCTACATTCACAGCCACATCGGTTGTCACAAGATGATAGTGTCATGTGCCTGTATTAGTGTTTCCCCTAATAATAATAGACACTCTGAAGCGACTATGTCGAGATGGCGGCTCGTGTTGGTCTGGAGGTACTCTGCAGCTCCAATGACCATCCAGCATCAGTTGAAGGACTTAAATTATAGGCTCCACAGAACAAGTAAATATTCCTGGGCACCACTTGGCCAGACTTCCTCCCCACTAGATAGGCTCCAGACTGGATATGATTTTCATACCAGTCAAACAAACACAGTGTCAGCAGAAATCTGAAAATATAGCTAACACTTAAACAAACCTAAATAAAGGGAACAGTGAAATACCTTACTGCAACAAAGTAAAATTGAGAATAACAATGCATGATGTATTGAATATCAACAAAGGTGAGGTAATCAATGAATGGATTAAAGGAACAGCACAATAATATATAAAAGTGAAATCTGCACAGAGTTCAGTCAGAAAAGACAGAGGCTTGACTCAACGCACCGATGGTTATCATCATGGCATCTGCAGATGTGTAACAAGGATCTATTGAGCTCAGGCAAGATTTGATAAGCTGGCTGTAAGTCTCAGTCTTCTATACTCATCTCTAGGAGTGAAGCCAGGCAGATCCTTTCTCTGGTCAGTGTGAGTCAATTTCTGCTGCACACTTCATGACTAAGAATGTAAAAACACTGTCAGTTTCACTGCTGCCCCTGGTTGGGCACAGCACATACATAAAGCAAGTTCTACATCAAGGCACACTGATAGGTGGTAAATCTGATATGGCAATTCCAGGTAACATCTGCTGAAGTGCAGTATGTAGTTGACCTCACAGATTGTGACTCATCAGGTCACATCAGCTTCAGTTTTGTGGAAAAGTGAAGTTATGGTATCTGGTGGTTATGACTGAGCACTGGTGGAATTGGTGTCTTCACTTAGGTGGAGCCAAGACTGCAGAATGCAGAACTTTGGTGTAGATTCTTGGGTTTCAGATTCTGACAAAGGTCCCAGCTAAACTAGCAAACTGTCTGGATCAGCACTTACACATCCTGAGGAAATAATACATTGAGAACCTGGGTTAACCATTGATCACACCATATGCCTCTGTAGTATAGTTCTTACCACCCATCTTCATTTATATGCTCAGCAGTCAGTGGTCAACCTTCTTGAGGAAGAATAGACCTGATTGAGTTTTTAAACCTCAGAACCCAAGCAAGCTTGAAAAGTACTCCCTAACTTCTTCCATTGAAAACAGCGTTAGCCAAGCAGAAGAATCATATCGCCCATCATCCTTCCAATAAACAAATGCCTACCTTGCACAGGCATACCAAGGAGCATAGAATATTCAAGAGGAAAATGCAACAGTAATACAAATTACATTTTCCTACACTGATCTGGGGTTACCTTTCACCATTGGGCTAGTCCGGAAGTAGTTCACAACTGAGTATTTTCAAAAGTCAAATATCAGCTCCACACTAGGGAAAAAGACAAAGCTATTTAGATCAACCAGTGTCCTAAATCATTCCAAGATTCTGCCAGGCCTAGTTTTGAAGCATAAGATCATAAGGAAAAGTATACATTACTCCCAAGGAGTATGGACGATTATTAAATAATATGAGAGGACATAAGTCGTTGAAGTGTAGGGGACTCTTTACAGCCCGAGGGTTTCTACAGTTTAAGTCCTCAAGCAGCTATTTCGATCAATAACTTACAACTATGTGAGCCCCTATACCCAGCAGCAGAGGAAAATACTTCAATTAAGATAACTAAAGTTAAACTTACCCATTCTCATATGAAATTCCTGGGTGAAACGGTGACTTTCAATACAGCAATATAGTAAGATGACAGAACAAAGCTACATGCCGTCTGCTAGCTCTGGAAGCCGTGTCAGGAATGATGCAAAAATTTTTTTTGCTTACTTACCTAGAAACGGGAAACAGTTTGTTCCGCAAGAACGGCGGTAGTTCGACCATGGACTTTGGTTTTGCTACGCTTTGAACTCATTTATCTATGTTAAAGTTAGTTGCGTATTCTTTACAGGATATTGGAGAACCAACCCCAGCATTTTATGGCTGTTGTAGTTTTTCTAGACAAATTTATGTCCAGTAGTTTGCCATTGCTTTCTGGAAGGTCGGCTTCTCAATACCACTGTCAAAACCAGCGCTAGGCGCAAGGCCCGCAGCTGGGATCGAACCCAGCAACCCGACACTACGAAGATTTATCTATGAGTGAATTCAAATATTTTTCACTCCCAATAGAATTATGATCGAATTGAGTCCCTTTCCCAATATCTTGGACCCGTACTTGTCAAAGAAGGACAATATACTTATAGAAGAAGTGTCCATATTTGAAATCAGATAATTTGCATGAAGGAGTACAAGATGTGGGTGGGTCCAAGAGCAGAGGGCCGTTCTGTTGGTCATGCGACAGTGATTACAATCACTACCACCATCACCATTACTATTGCCACTGTCATGATCACAGTTACCATCATCGTCACTTTAATAACCTCCCCTCCTCACTCCCCCCACCCCTACCATCAACATCTGTGTTCCTTAGATAGAAGATGCAGATTTGAATGCCCAATTCCAAATCGCTTGACAGTATAGTTCATTTAAAAATAAATAATGTTAATTGACCTAATGTGCACACACTGCCCTCATACTAGACATGTACATTTGTGTGTGACAGGCAGTTTAATTTTCCTGCAGATTTTATGGGGATGCAGTTTATAGGTTGGCTGTTGCGCTCCTCTGGCGCTTTCTACATTCGACGAAGCTTTGGTGATGACCACTTGTACTGGGCAGTGTTCACAGAATATGTTCAGACTCAGATCTGCAATGGGGATTCTCCAGTAGAGTTCTATGTGGAAGGCACACGGAGCAGAACGTCCAAGTCCTACACACCTAAATTTGGTATGCTCAATGTTGATGTAAATTATATGTGTATGGTTGTAATACGTTGTGACTGGAAAGTAGCTGGCTGCTCTACCGTAGAAATCACATTGTCACAGAAGCACTTCTGTAGGAACAGTTATTGGCTTTAGCAGTCAGTCTGTAAACAGGACTATTCAGTGAAATTTACTCAGGGCTAAAATGTTGAAAATGGGAATCGTCATAGACCAGAGGTGTGCACAGGTCTAGAAAGATCATTAATACAGTACAACTGGCAGTGATCCACAGGCAGTTTGCCAGGCTTCTCCTGCCTGCAGACCATCAGTTGAATAACCTGTTACAGAAGATCTGATTCAGTGTGGGTATTCTATAGTTATTGGTAGTTGCCAGAGTGAGTCCAGAAACATCATAACTCATACAAATTGCTATATCAACTCATTATTAATAGTTAAAAGTTGAGAGGAGCAACTTCATTGACTGGGTTTGTCTCATATGGCTTGGTTTCTCCGCAGGTTGGGCTAGCGCCTGCTGAGAACATGGCACAAAGCATGAACTTCATAGATCCTGTGAAAATTCTCAGGGGATCTCAGAAAAGAATTGCACTAATGAACTGACCAACACATTGGTGAAACAAACTTATGACTTTTAAAGCACAAGACAAATGGCTTAACCACTTTGCCACGGAGACCTCCATGTTATTAGTTACAATAATAAAAATTATCTTGTGATAAGTTTATTTTGTCTTATATTCATGCAAGCTCAATTAATAATAAAATATAGTAATTGACCATTTCATGAATAAATGTAAAATAGTTATCGCCTATCATTGTTCAGCAGGTCTGTTAGAGACCCTGGCTCACATCATTGGCATGCCTGAAAGTCTCTCTCTCTCTGTAGCCAGTCGGCTGTCGATGGGTGATGTGGGCAGTATGGCGCTGGCACTTTGACTTGCCAGGACTTTTACCTGGTACCCATTCAAGACTGGGTCCACCTGCAAGCTGAGCTCATGTTTCCCAACAAAAATCAGGCTGCGTGCAGAATTGAACCCACAACCTTTGGATCCATAGGTGAGCCTCTAGATGCTACACCACAGCAGCTACCAGATAAATCTAAGAAGAAGGGAAAAAAATCCATGATTAGAAAGGGATTCGAACCATTGGCCACCTAACTGATATGGAAGGGACATTAACAGAGATCTACCATATTTTGAATGCCTGTAACCCTAGGATTTATAAAGTATATGTTCAGGAATGTATATACTTGTATGTTGGTTATATACGTATGCAGGGATGCTGTCTGCAGCGCTGGAACCTTACTTCAAGTCTCATGTGCCAGATATCATGGTGGTGCCTGTTAGTATCAGCTACGACCGCATTTTAGAGGAAAGCCTTTATGCCTATGAACTGTTGGGTGTGCCGAAACCCAGAGAGACCACTTCGGTAAGTCACGCATCAGGATTGTAGTGCTCACCATAAACATGACCTCACTGACACATGTGTCAGTCTTGGATACTGTCCTCATCCATGCGACCTGAGAAATTCTTTGCATGATCCCAGAGCTACTTTATGTGATCAGAGTTGCTCTTTCTTTCACAAAGGGAAATGCTGGAATTAAATTCACAAAATAACTGTATGCTGTCTCCACATGGAAGATTTGCTGCAGTAAACCCACTGTTGTATTTGAGATTATTATGTGGTGGAACCGCGATGTCTTCCATGGTGTGACTCTTATGCCACCGTCCCAATGCCACAGTAACTTTGTTTTGTTTCAAAAACCATCATCTGGACATCCTACCTTAGTATGTCAGGGATCATGAAATTGTGAAACGCAGTTGGGATGTAATGGGTCTAAACCACATGGGCTGGTGCACCACGACCAGGCTTGTACTGGTCAGTTCCTGCCAACACCTCTCTGTGGTCACTTTGAAACAGTATTCCTACCAGGGACCTGGCCAGTTTAGATTGAGATATGATCGAGGTTTCCCTTGAAGCCGGAATGCATCTTCCCGAGAGGTGAGGAACCAACAGTCAGCACACAAATAAGCTAGATCTGTAAAACTGATGTGCGTGCAAAAATTAAGTCCTGGAACGAGACCAAAGACAAAAGTGGATGAACAGGTGGAGTTGACAGCCAGTAAACACAAACAAGAAGAATAGGAAATGTCCATTAAACTCTAGACTACAGAGAGTCTAATTTACCTAATGTGATTTTTGTGCTACCTCAAGTGGCACAAGGTATACTAAGAGTTAAAACAACAACACATTGCTCAATCAGCAGTTTAGGTTGCAGTATGCAAATAAAACACTTTGCCCAGTAAACAGATACAGTATAAGTGATACCCTGTGATGGGCCAGCCAGGTGCCAGTGTCTTTGGTGTCTGAACAATTATTGTGAAAATATGTGCAGCACCTGTGATGGGAGAGCTCAATGGTATAACTGCTAAATGTGGTATAACTGCTAGATGCTTGTCCGGAGATCTTGGTTTGAATCTAAATTGAATCAGATTTTTAAAAAAAAATGATTGTGACTCCCAGATCTATCCACTCTAAAATGGGTAGCAGGTAAAATCTGGGAATTAAAGATGGCTGACAGGATGTTGAGCACATGGTCCATCAACTGTTGATTGACTGTAAAATATGAGTCTAGTATCATAAGTTGAAAAACATTTACTCGGGGTAGAGATGTGGTTTTTAAGAAGAATGCATAGAATATCATGGAGGGATAGAAAAAACAATTGAAACAGTCTTCATTAAGGCAGATGAAAGTCGTAAACTTTTCAGAAGAATTTAAGTTAAAGATTTAAGTCGAGAGTATTGACCTCATTGCACCAGGTTTTATCCCATATGGCTTAGTCTCTCTCCACAGAATGGCTAGCTGCCTGATAAGAGCGTCACAGAAAGCATGAACTCCTTAGCTTCAGTGATGATCTCCAAAGATCTCCATAAAAATGGCACTTGTTACTGAATGGCACAGCTGTAAAATGAACCTGCGACCTTCAGAGCACGTCGACAGTTAGTGTTTGTTTGATCATGTTATAAGAAGAAATGGATGTGAGAACTTGTAACAACTGACAAGATTGATGGCAAGAGAGCAAGAGGAAGGCAAGGCGATGAATACCAGAATGGCTTGGGCCATATGGATATGAGAACTTGTAACAACTGACAAGATTGATGGCAAGAGAGCAAGAGGAAGGCAAGGCGATAAATACCAGAATGGCTTGGGCCGTATGGATATGAGAACTTGTAACAGCTGACAAGATTGATGGCAAGAGAGCAAAAGGAAGGCAAGGCGATGAATACCAGAATGGCTTGGGCCGTATGGATGTGAGAACTTGTAACAGCTGACAAGATTGATGGCAAGAGAGCAAGAGGAAGGCAAGGCGATGAATACCAGAATGGCTTGGGCCGTATGGATGTGAGAACTTGTAACAACTGACAAGATTGATGGCAAGAGAGCAAGAGGAAGGCAAGGCGATGAATACCAGAATGGCTTGGGCCGTATGGATGTGAGAACTTGTAACAGCTGACAAGATTGATGGCAAGAGAGCAAGAGGAAGGCAAGGCGATGAATACCAGAATGGCTTGGGCCGTATGGATGTGAGAACTTGTAACAGCTGACAAGATTGATGGCAAGAGAGCAAGAGGAAGGCAAGGCGACGAATACCAGAATGGCTTGGGCCGTATGGATGTGAGAACTTGTAACAGCTGACAAGATTGATGGCAAGAGAGCAAGAGGAAGGCAAGGCGATGAATACCAGAATGGCTTGGGCCGTATGGATGTGAGAACTTGTAACAGCTGACAAGATTGATGGCAAGAGAGCAAGAGGAAGGCAAGGCGATGAATACCAGAATGGCTTGGGCCGTATGGATGTGGCGAGACAAAACAAGTGACCTGATCCATGATTCTGGTGATTACACTTACAGGCAAGGCACATGCTTATGATGATGATCATATGCCCAAGGTGCAATGGCATGAAAAGAGTCATTGACCTTTAGTTGACCTGTTGATGGAATGTATTCACAGGGGCTGCTCAAGGCCAGGAAGATCCTTCAGGAGAACTTTGGCAATGTCCACATGCACTTTGGGGAGCCCATTTCTATCCGCAAATACTCGGACGGGCTTGTGGATCGCAGTCTCCACAACCTGGCTCCCAGGTATGGGCACTTGTCTCTTGTATGTTGGCTCACTGCTTAGAGTAGCATAGGCTTCACAAATATCTGTTACAAAAAAAAAAAAAAGAATTAATTAAATGTAATTTGATTTCACATTATTAATTATTTTATTAACTTGTTTCTGTAGTATAGACATGATGAGATACAGTGAAACAGATCCAGGTAGTAAAGTATGCAGTCTGTTGCTGATGTCTTCTTTGTTGAATTTTATAATAGGGGAAACAACTTGAGACAGAAATTAATAATATGTGGACGTGGAGAGAGGTACAGGAAGGAGATGGCAAAGGAATGTAGAGCTTGTGGATAAAAGGCACAAGAAAACTCTCATTGGCCAATTCTCAACCACGGGTATGTGACGTCCACCAACTTGATTTGCTAGTGTCTTGAATAAATTGCCCATAGAATTTGAGGCCTACTAAATAACAGATTAATTAATGTGATCTAAATGTCCATTCAGCTAACGAATGTGAGTGTCCATTAGGCAAGACCCCCCCCCAGCTAAAGAGTTAGTGTTGTGAGAAACAATTTCTTGTTCACTGAATTGAAAGTAGTAGCTCTTACAGATTCCTAAAGTCTGTTGTATGGAGGAGATGCTGCTAGAGATGTGCAGATATAACCGTTCCCTGAGTGAGTCTAGAACATCAGCATCATGTACAGAATGGCATGCATGCGGCTGTTCCAGCCACTCTGGTTTTTAGATCAAAGACATGATCCCACTCCTAGGCAATGTAGTGTCCTGCAAAACTAGTTTATGCAGGCTAACTTGGCCAACAGATGCTGTCAGGAAGAAAGAAGGCACATCAGCCCAGAAGGCACAAATATTGCAACTATGCTATAAATGGATACAACATAAATGCTTCTAGTTAAAAAAAAAATTAGCTGCTCGAGGAATGACAACTTTCAGCAGCAGATGGCCCTTGAGGATGGTGACTGTGATAGATGTGTGTTTTGATCTCCATAGGTACATCGCCAGTTTGACCAGTCAGGAGCAAGATCTGATCAAACATCTGGGCCACTACATGGTCTTGACACAACAGAAGCACATGGTGGTCTCCCCTTGGTCCATGATGGCCGCAGTGCTTATGCAGACACAAGGAGGAGTGTCAGTTCGCCAGCTGGCCAAGGAAGTCGACTGGGTCAAAAGACAAGCCTCCAACATGGGGGCATACATTGACTGGCCAGGTAACAGCTTGCGTGTGGGCATCATGTATGTGGATATTTTCTATAGGATGAAGGGTTATGGTGATTCTGTCTATTAGCTCTAATTCCAGATGCTCTTGTCTTCTTTGTCGCCTCAAGAAGCAGCCAACCCACTTGTTCCCTTAAATGCCACTTAACTTGTGTTTCTGCTATGGCCTGTCCCTGAGGAGCCTGGTTAACAGTGTTGGGTTCTGTTTGCACCTGTGCAGTGTTTAGGAGGCCTGGCTATGAATATATTTACTGAAATAGCATTGTGCGGGAGATGTTGATTTGCCACTGTGAAAACCAACGCAAGGCTCATGGCCTGCAGCTGGGATCAAACCCGGCACCCCAGCATCACGAAGCATTGGCATCGACTTAGCCCCAGAGCTGACCTGCTTAAGATGATAAAACTATAATTGATAAACTATTAATTGATAAGACTATAATTGATAAACTATGAAATGATAAGACCATAGATGACAACTATAAATGATAAGACTATGGATTATAAAACTAAAAAGTGTCTACAACTGGATAAGTAGGTGCTCATGGGGACAGGTGAAGAAGAATAATGATAAACATTTGAGTTTTCTGTAGCTCAGAATGATTATTGATGCTGTATTTTACAGCTGATGAGTCAGTGTTGTGTAACAGCCAGTGCATCTACCTGTTGGCCTGAAGTTGTGTGTTTAAACCTTCCTTAATTTAGGATATTTATTGAGACTTCATAGCTCTGGTACAACTCGGCCTACATCAGTTAATTGATACTACATCGCCCCCTTAGTTGTCATATGGCCAAGAAATGCAAGACACGTCCTATATCCCTAATATGTTTGGATGGCTCAGGGACTGGGCTTTCACATATTTCTTTTTTGGGGTTAAATTTTGTAATTTTTGTAGCAGCATAGAAAGAATGTTGATGTTAGTTTGATCAATTTTAGTCTGGATATTTCAGTCACAGAGTCAGCAGAGGCGGTGTTGAGAGAAAATGTGAAGTTACACGAGAACATTGTCCGTATCACTGAAGATGATGTTGTAGAACTGGTGAGAGTTGCACCACCAGCCCACGCCAAAGCCACGGATACACTGATGATCACAGGTAAACAGACTTGTATATGATAAAATCACATGTAGGTTAGCATGCTTACTTTTGAAGTTCACAGAGAGAGAGAGAGAGAGAGAGAGAGAGAGAGAGAGAGTGAGAGTGAGAGAGAGAGAGAGGGAGGGAGAGTGAGAGAGAGAGAGACAGAGAGTGAGAGAGAGAGAGAGAGAGAGGGACTAGCATTGTGTTTACCCCAAATTTCATTAGAATGGCTCTTTGTAGCAGTCTCTTACAAATAATAATACCCCCACACTTTACTGCAAGGTATGTATACCCTTATAGAAAATAACAAAACACTAATGGAATAAAAGAGACAGAGATGGTGCTAGCAGTCTGGTTTCTATTTGTGAAAATTGTAAAATTCAAAAGCGTGTTAGTAGAGGGTCCTAATCTATGATTCATGAGGCCTTTTTTATGACCCTTTGGATACCCACTTCTCAGGTATGCAAAGCGTACCTGAATCATAATATGTTTCGTTCTACTTTTATCTCTATCCTGAGTCCGAAGGTTCTCAGTGCAGTGCACGCAATCTGTAGCACCGGCGAGGACCCTGACATACTAAAAATTTTGCCCGGTCAGCGCCGTTAGGCTACTCTTTTCAATTTTCAACTGCCAAGGGATTTTTTTTACGTGTGCAAAAATACACTTGGACGTCTGATTCTTACTATCCAGAGACCAGGGGAAATGACTAGAAGTCTGCATGAAAAAAATCTAAATCTCGAACACTCAAGACAAACGCCATGCCTCGAGACCACACAGAAACATCCTAGCCGGTACAGTAGGTGACTTCTAGGCAAGCATTTAGCAGGTCCTTCGCAGAAAGGACTCTTGGTCCATTTCTGGTTCACAAGTCTCATATTTTTTCATACCTTAAGTGTCTCTGGTGTCAGTGTCCACCCCTGCCTCTTTTCACAGGAACCAAGCTTTCATTATAGTTCTTCCTAAACCACTGCAGCGTTCAATGTATTCACAGTATTTGAGTTTCTCAGACATCATGCTGTTTGTTTTCTGCAGTGTTCAGATCTTGTAGAATGTTATTACTTTACTTCTGTTTTGACCCACGCTATTTTCATAATCTTACTGATATATTTAAGTTCTAAGAACTGATTTGCTTCTGGTGTAGTCCATGGGTAATAATTGGGTAGTTTTCTCTTACTTTCCACAACCTGATAGCTTTATACTGTCCTCAACCTTTAGCTTACTCTTGCCAGGGAACCCACTGGCTCTGCTTTGTGGTAATCTTGCTAACTGCAAAAGGCACTCTGGAGTGCTCACTGATCCTGGTAGATGCATGGTCGTGAGAACTGTGGTTGTTGCACCTCAGTGTTTGTGTCATTCTCTGCCTTGCAACCTACAGGCAGGTATCAACCTCTTTTAACTACAGTTAAAAAGTGGAAACTGCAATGGTAGTAACATCTGATGGGCTGTAAAAACCAACAATAATACTACAGTTCACAGTAGAGGCAGACCAAGAAAGACCTCAATACAGAACTTTGCTGTGTGGGCAGACCCTAGGTATGCAGCCATGAAGTCCATGTCATCTGACCCCCAAAAGAAGAGTTTGATTTGTGCTTTTCAGTTGAAGGTATTCCTTTTTGTGCCTGATTATTTATTGTTGTAAAATAGAATAGAACAGTTTGTGAGATACAATAAAATAGAATAGAACAGTTTGTGAGATACAATAAAATAGAATAGAACAGTTTGTGAGATACAATAAAATAGGCCAGACAACCAAGTGTCATATATATATTGTTTGTGACATCATTTAGATATTAACATTGTGTAAACATTCATGTATCTATTAAAATATCAAAGTCTGCATGTTTCTATGAGCTTTCTCATGTTGAAACTTATTTTAGTTTTAGTTGTCCCATGTTTGAACATGTAGAAGCTGTCCTGTTAGAACATGTGAAAGCCTTGATGTGTTGTTGTCAACTGTTTCAGCTGGACAGCATCTGATGTTGTCACTGTATCGAAACCATATTCTTCATGTGTTTGTGAGGCCCGCCATCATTGCCATATCTGTAAATACATGTAATGAGAACAAGTTATCAACTGGTACGTATGGTCATTGTGTCTGGGCAAACTTCACGCAACTTGAATTACTCAGTTTTCTCCTTCCTTCTGCCCTTAGAGGGTGGTTGTCACATTATGTTGGGGTTTACAGCTAGGCTGTGACATCTGTGTTTTTGGCTATACTTTTCTGATTTCAGAGAAACCTTAATTAGTTTTCTTTGACATCAGGCTTGTGAAAAAGCAGTGGATCTATTCTTCTTTAATCTCCAAAACTGGGGCTCAGGGATCCACATGAGGGAAATCAATCATTTGTAATTCTGGGATATCTTTGTGCTTCAGTACCCCAACCGCGGCTTAGGTGTTGAGAGCCCAACTCGTAATTCCAACATACCGCGATTGAAATCCACTGCTGGCTGCGTGGATTTTTTTCAAGGTATGAGATGTCACAGGTCGACCCAGGCTAAAATGGGTATGGGTACCAGGATGTATGTCATAAGGATGTAAAGACGGCTGGCGTAATGCTGACCACATTACCCACCTTGTGCTGATTGATCTATGAAAATGTGGAAGCTCTTGCCATGTTCCAGATGCCCCTAAAGGCGTGAAAAGGGATCTTTATTGCTTACTTTACTTTGTGGTTGAGTCAAAGCACCCATAGATAGCCAAGGTCACCTCCATGAAATATCAGCCAACTGATTAAGCACTCAAAATAGTCTGCTTATATTTGCACCAGATATATCATAATGCCTGAATATTACCAGGGTCCATAAGAGGAGCAAAGAAATAGGGTGACTTACCATGTATGACCTGTGAGGTGACTAAGGAAGGTTGGTGTAGGACTGGCTAGCACCCCCCCCCCCCCCCCCACCCCAACCCCAAAATCTGGTTGCAAAATCCCACTGTTTCTGAACTACTCTACAAAGGGTTTGGTCTGAGTTAACTGACCACTATGTTCTCTTGAGAGCTGAAAGTCAGAGGAACAAACAAACAAACTTTATTTTTAAAGGGTTAAGAATTGGGCACACAGGCCCGTCTAACATTCTGCCCTTTGAGGTCTCCCTCCTAACTTACATCATTTCATTCACACATCAAGTAATATTAAAAGTTTGCAATAGCATCAAAATAATCAATACAAGCACTGGAATGTGCACATTTCTAACTACAGTAAAACGTATTAGTTGTAACAAATCTTAGGGAAATGTGCGCTATTTTTCACATGTTTTATCTTCTATGGGGGCATAAATCGGTGCTCAGATAATATTCGAATAGTTTCCGATTGTATGTATAGGCACTAGTAGTACTTTTGATTTGCTGCTGCAGATAGTTCCACAGCTGAGCTGTGGAATACGCCAAACTTGTTTTGTAAAGCTCTATACTAGGTTTAGGGATGTGTAATATATTTAGGCGTTTACTGTGCCTTCCATTATATTTAAACAAGGGCCATAAGTAGCACGGAGCCTTTTGAGATAATATTTTTAAAGTAAATTTCGCCTTATTGAAAAGTAGACGTTCTTGAAGCAGTAGTAGCCTAAGACCTTTATATGTTTCGGAGCTCACTGTCCCATGATTGTTACTAATTAAGCGAATGGCGCGCTTTTGCAGTGATGTTAGCCGCTTGAAAACAGAGCTGGGACAGCCATCTCATATTGTAGAGCAATAGTCTATATATGTCTGGATGTGAGAAATATAGAATATCTTTCTTGTGTGTTCATCAAGAAAGTTTTTAATTTTTGCAAGCTGGTAAACCTTTTTAGCTGTTTGTTTCACAAGTGCGTGTACATGAGAGCTGAAGGTTAGATTTGCATCAATTACCAACCCCCGTATCTTGTGTTCAGTTACATTTTCCACTTGAGTGCCCCCAATGTAGAGTTGAAGCGTTCTTTGAGAATTTAAACTGTTTTTGTCTGGTCGTTATTAGCATAGATGTAGTTTTATTAATGTTTATTTGCATACAGTTTGCACTGCTCCATTTGACTACATTATTTAATTCTTGTTGTAATGACAACTCTAGTACATTACATGTTTGAGCATTTGCATAGATGGTACAGTCGTCTGCGAATAAATCACAGGACGCCGACAGACATAAAGGAAGATAATTTATGTAGATTTTGAATAACAGAGGGCCGAGATTAGAGCCTTGAGGTACCCCAGTATTTAAGTTAGTGGTCCGTGATAGTGATTTATTGTAACATATTATTTGTTTTCTATTTAACAAAAAGGATTTTATTAACTGTAATAGTCTAGGGTTAAATTTCATTGTTTCTCATTTTCTTATGAGAATGTTATGGTCTATCATGTCAAAAAGCTTTCTTAAAGTCTATAAACACCCCGCCACATATTTTCTCATCATTAACATTCTGGTGCCATTTTTCAATCATGTTAGTTAAAGCAGTATGGCAAGAATAGTTTGGTTGAAAACCTGATTGGTTATCCACTATAAGTTTGTTGTGATCTAAGTGCTCTTTGTTTGTTTGTTTTAGTATCCAGAAGCCATGAGTCGTTAACCCTTAGGCTCGGTATTATGGATATTGCAACCTTTTGGCCTTGATTCCATTATAAATACTGTAAATCTGGGAGAAAATGTGGCTTTCCTGCCTACCCCCAGAATTGAACCCGGACCACAAGGAGTTCGTCACCCGGTCTCCACCAATCCGGTTTTGCCAACTACGCTAGGGAGCCGGGCTATCTAAGTGCTGAAAAGCTACATTATAAATATGTCTCTCTAGTGGTTTCGATAGTGATGATAACAGGGAGATGGGTCTATAGTAACCTGGAATACTACTGTCTAAGGAATCAGATTTTAGATGTGGATACACTTTGGCAATCTTAAATGCTGATGGGAAGTAGCCTTTTGACAAGACAAGGAAGAAGGTTACAGATACTATCATAAGTTGTGTTCACCTGGGTATTCATGTATAGTAGGAGCATGAAGCAAATCCTGATGTAGAAGCATATCATGTAGAACTGATAAGAAATTATGGGGAAGCAGCACAGTTTTGGATTCATAGAAGAATGATAAGAATACATGGACAGATAAAGGAATGTAATGCAGATGTCTTACAGGAAGTTAACTCACAAAGAGAATCAGTAACTCACAGAATGAAGTGATGCACATTTTCCCCATGAGAAGAGGACAACTGAAATGTATCGTGACAGCAGGATAGAGAAAAAGAGATGGGTGAGACCATGATGGAGAGAGAGACAAGATGTTGGACAATCTGGCACCATTGCTTGAAGAAAAAGACATCTGTATCAACAATTATTAGACTACATAAGATAAAAGATTGTGGCCAAACAGGATGATTGCCTGATATCATGGGCTGTGAGAAGGAGAATGACAGAGGCATCTATCAGATCGAGATTGGAATGTTTATAACAAATGTTTGTAAGTTTTAAATGTAGTCAAAACTTTAAATGAACATAATTATTTAAACTAACAAGGCACACTTGATCCATTTCTTAGATGACCTCTACACAAAGTACTGTTTCCTGGAGCAGCTCTTGAGCAAGGACTTTGTGTTTATTCCAGGAAAAACCAAATCTGTGAGTAGTTTGCTGTCTTCTTCTTCTTTGCGTTGATCAACTTTAAACTCCAGCCAGAAGTTCTGGTTGTTCATCCACCTCCGGACTTAGCCGTGTTCCAGAACCTGAGTGCTACAGGCCGATTTACACATCTGGCTTATTTGTATGCAGACTGTTGCTTTCTTGCCTCTCAGGCAGATTTACTCTGACTTCGAAGGCAGCCCCCCAATTAGTCGACTCATACGACCTGCGTTTTAGGAAGGCAAATGGTCTGTCTATTCTTGTTGTCCCCCACAGTGAGGCCCTGCAACTGAGAGGATCAGCATTATCTTCATGTGGCGGATGAGCTGGGGTTGACCTACAGTGACACACTGAGCCACAGTTGATGAGGTCATGCTAGAGAACTATTTTCCTGATATGACGGTGTGTCAGTTTTAGAACTGATTTAGGAATAAAAAGCTCTTGTACACATGCCAAGCACTGTTCAATGTATGTTGGCCACACTTACAACATTCATCTGTAAGTCTGTGTGAATGGCCACCTCACTAGAGAGCTGGGTTGGTTGGATAATTTCTTTCTTGAGAAAATCTTATCTCCTAGATTTATGCATAACTTGGTGATTTCGGTCACAGGCATGAAGGAAAGGCTGTGGTGTGTAAGGAGATACTCCTGATCTCACCTGGGTGCTAGCAGGTTCTGCACTGTGTGTCTGCGCTCATGTGAATGGTCCATGTAGGTTCTGATCTCACCTGGGTGCTAGCAGGTTCTGCACTGTGTGTCTGCGCTCATGTGAATGGTCCATGTAGGCCTGAACCAAGCTGGTATTGGCTCTTGGAGTTGGTAGCATACGCCAGGGACAACCAGTGCAGAAGAAGGGGTGTTTGGCATGGACGCTTGATGTAAGTTAGGACAATGGACATCTTATTGCAAACATATTTATTTTAGAGTAAAGTTAGACATTATAGTCAGCAGCTGAACTGTACAAGTGTTAAAGGAGATGTATTGGCAGATAAATGGGTTATGGTCACACATTCGACTACAGGAACCTAAACTACAAACTGTAGTAAGTGTTAAATATCAGTTACGGGACATGCATATTCTTTAAAAACTGTTCAGAGAGGTTGCATTTCAGGATCTGTTACTAAGTGCTGAGAACTAACTTTAAAAAAAAAATGAATTAAAAGACCCCAAAAAAAATAAAATGACAACTCGGTGTTAATGGTGCGCATACAAGAACTCATCCTGCATTAAAAATAAAAATAAAAATCTGTAGTTGTCAGATGTAGTCAATTATGAAGTAGTCTGTAAACAGCTTGGTCTCATTGGGTTGAACGTCGATGCTGCATTTAAGAGATAAAAGGTAGCAGAGGAAGAATAAAGGAAGATGTCTTGAAATTGAGAGCATCTTTTACAGCGATTAGTTCCACAAGGAATGTAAAGGTTCAATCATCATCACATATACTCACTCACATCGGACTGGAAGCTACTTCATAACCATCATGTGCCTTGATATCACAGTTGTACAGTTAAACAGGGTTTTGGGATTTGTACCAGTTTGATTCTCACCCTTGAGATGTTAATCCTACATGTTGCCATCCTGGAGGAAAACACTGTATAACATGGACAAACTGCACACATTTCTTGTGATTGCAGTTGACGTTCCATGGTTAAAGTAAAATCATGGTGCTATTAGTTAGTTTGAATGCATGTGTTCATTCTGTATGTGCGTGCTGTATGCTTGATTCATATGTTCATTCTGTATGTGCGTGCTGTATGCTTGATTCATGTGTTCATTCTGTATGTGCTTGCTGTATGCTTGATTCATGTGTTCATTCTGTATGTGCTTGCTGTATGCTTGATTCATATGTTCATTCTGTATGTGTGTGTTGTATGCTTGATTCATATGTTCATTCTGTATGTGCGTGCTGTATGCTTGATTCATATGTTCATTCTGTATGTGCTTGCTGTATGCTTGATTCATATGTTCATTCTGTATGTGCTTGCTGTATGCTTGATTCATGTGTTCATTCTGTATGTGCGTGCTGTATGCTTGATTCATATGTTCATTCTGTATGTGCTTGCTGTATGCTTGATTCATGTGTTCATTCTGTATGTGCTTGCTGTATGCTTGATTCATATGTTCATTCTGTATGTGCTTGCTGTATGCTTGATTCATATGTTCATTCTGTATGTGCGTGCTGTATGCTTGATTCATGTGTTCATTTTGTATGTGCGTGCTGTATGCTTGATTCATGTGTTCATTCTGTATGTGCGTGCTGTATGCTTGATTCATATGTTCATTCTGTATGTGCATGCTGTATGCTTGATTCATGTGTTCATTCTGTATGTGCTTGCTGTATGCTTGATTCATATGTTCATTCTGTATGTGCTTGCTGTATGCTTGATTCATATGTTCATTCTGTATGTGCGTGCTGTATGCTTGATTCATGTGTTCATTCTGTATGTGCTTGCTGTATGCTTGATTCATATGTTCATTCTGTATGTGCTTGCTGTATGCTTGATTCATATGTTCATTCTGTATGTGCATGCTGTATGCTTGATTCATGTGTTCATTTTGTATGTGCGTGCTGTATGCTTGATTCATATGTTCATTCTGTATGTGCGTGCTGTATGCTTGATTCATATGTTCATTCTGTATGTGCGTGCTGTATGCTTGATTCATATGTTCATTCTGTATGTGCATGCTGTATGCTTGATTCATATGTTCATTCTGTATGTGCGTGCTGTATGCTTGATTCATGTGTTCATTTTGTATGTGCGTGCTGTATGCTTGATTCATGTGTTCATTCTGTATGTGCTTGCTGTATGCTTGATTCATATGTTCATTCTGTATGTGCGTGCTGTATGCTTGATTCATATGTTCATTCTGTATGTGCTTGCTGTATGCTTGATTCATATGTTCATTCTGTATGTGCTTGCTGTATGCTTGCATATCTTGACCTGGTTTCTTTGTATCATCTGCAGGATTTTGAAGTCGCCCTGCTGACGTTGACACACACCTGTGGTGTTGTCATGGAGGACAATCAGGTGATCATTGGTCAGTCCACCAACAAACACACTACCTTCTACAGCCAGATGTTCGAACCGTTTCTCTTAGGATACTGGGTAAGTCAACCCCAGATAGGGTTTTGACTTTAGTTCCTAAATTATGTGCATTTAGCCCTTTCTTCCTGTAAATGTTAACAATAAAATAGGTAATGAAAGCATACAGATTTAGGAAAAATCCTTTAAAAAAAAAATAAAAACCTACACAAAATTACACGTCACTAATGCGATTAAAAAAATGTTTTTTTCTTAATTGCAAATTTTTTCTTGAAAAATTTCTTCTTCTTCTTCTTCCACCTTGTACTTCAGCGAAGTGTAAAATATCAAATATTGAAAAATATCAAAATATGTAAAGAAGTAATTGATACTCGTGAAGAGTTAGATGGAATATATTCACAGCTGGCTCTATCTGTGACCCCATGAACTCTATCACTGAGGTTTATGGGAAAATCTGACATCAAATTGGCTTTCAAAAAGCCATTAGGGTCATCAGGAAATGCCTCCAATGCTATTCTTAGTTACTATATTCATATCCTGGCTTGTGAAACACTCCACAGGTGCACGTGGTTCAGTGGAATTTAATTACTGTTTTTGAGAACAAGTCAGTGCAGACATGACCACAAACTGGGGTGTTGACAGGAGGGGACTGTATCACAACCAGAAGCTTTCAATCGTTCTGTCAGAAAACTTATATCAGGAGACCGGTAGCCTTTATGAAAGCTATCGTGCAGTCCATATCTTCTCGTGTATCATACAGCTTTGTCTTCATTATGGTTGGAACAGGCCAGATTGCGTCTCTGTTGTCAGCATACGCTGAAGAAATTAGTTAAGTTTCCGTTGCCTGATAACCTTGTAGAGTGTTTCCTGGCAAGCGGTTGATTGATGTCAGGTTTGATAAGTTCAAAGCTGAATGTAACAGAGTATTATGTCTTATATACTACCATCACACCACACGTGTGCGCGCAGAGAGAGAGAGAGAAAGAGAGATAGACAGATCTGACAGTGTTACTCATATTGAAATGACACATCCCTCTGATCGCTAGGGGAGTGAAATTGGATTTAGAGCCTTCTCAGATAAGGACTAAAAAAAAAAAGTTCCATGCGCAGGTTAACATTCCATTGAAAGATTGCTGCACTGGCAACATTGCTAGAAAGAAAACATACCCATGAGTAAAAAGAGCCAGACTTTCTTTAGAGAATCTGGCTTATGTAAATAAAGTCAGCCAAACAAATGCTTGCTTAAGTTGGGCCTATTGGTACCTGAGGTGGACAACTAGAGGGCGATACTCCTCCCTTTGAAAGAGGAACCAGTAATATCAAATGGCTTTCATTCTTTTTTTTCTTTTCAGTATCTGCTGTGAGCGTGCCTTTACATTAAATCAAGTGGATATCTATTTTTTTGATTTTTCCCTGCCATAGATTCTGTGTCAGTACCTGCTGTCTAACCACCCGAACGTGGCCGGCAAACCTCTGGCCAAGACTCAGAAGACACTGGTCAAGGAGGCCCAGATGTTGACGGCCAGGCTGCTCCAGGAGGGTGTGGTCAGACACTATGAGATGCTGTCTCTAGACATCATGAACAATGGGCTACATTCTCTGTACCTTATGGGAGCAGTCAGCAAGGAAAGGAGGGATGGAGTTGTCTATATGTACCCCAACACCAGACAGTTGTCTACCATCACAGACAAACTAGGTAGGCTTGTCATTGTCTCTTCGATACCGATATAATCATCATCGCAGTCATCATCATCATCATCATCATGCAGGTGGATTTTCTGTTTTCCATTTTCCTGATTATGTTTGTCACCATCAGGTGGCTTTTCTATTTATCTTGTAATCTTTTTCATCATCATCACAGAAGTAAAGGACCCTTTTATGTGCCTTCAGGCCTATCAAGCTTATAGGGCTAGATCTATATTTTATAGAGCATCTGGCACTCCGTAGGTGCTGGGGTCAACATCATGCCGACTGAACCTTTTACCCATCTAAGGCTGGGTTGACTACTTAACCTTTTACCCATCTAAGGCTGGGTTGACTACTTAACCTTTTACCCATCTAAGGCTGGGTTGACTACTTAACCTTTTACCCATCTAAGGCTGGGTTGACTACTGAACCTTTTACCCATCTAAGGCTGGGTTGACTACTTAACCTTTTACCCATCTAAGGCTGGGTTGACTACTTAACCTTTTACCCATCTAAGGTTGGGTTGACTACTTAACCTTTTACCCATCTAAGGCTGGGTTGACTACTTAACCTTTTACCCATCTAAGGCTGGGTTGACTACTTAACCTTTTACCCATCTAAGGCTGGGTTGGCTTGGGAGACAGGGTCATTTGTTTTAAAAAAAAACCCCACTCCATTAGGTTTTGAACTCATGATCTTCGGATCCACAACCGGGCAACTAGCCACTACACCACGGCGGCCCTCCTCCCACCAAATCATCACATGACTTTCCTTTTGAGAAGAAGCTCATTTATAAACAAACATGTATTATCATCATAACCATCACCAGAATATTATCTCAGCCTTGTGTTGTCTGTAGAACATGATGCCATGCAAGTGTACACACAAATGTAAACAAACATTTATCATCATCATAACCATCACCAGAATATTATCTCAGCCTTGTGTTGTCTGTAGAACATGATGCCATACAAGTGTACACACAAATGTAAACAAAAATATATATAGTTAGGGGACTTTGAAAAATGAGTTTTTTTTTTTTTTTTTAGATGCTAGGCAGTAAGTATGTTTTTCTGCCATGTGACCTTTGGGTATGGTGTGTGTGTGTCTCCTGTTGATAGGTTAAGGGACTGATTGTTACATATGAAAGGGTGAAGAGACTGATTGTCACATGATGAAGGGACTGATTGTCACCTGGTGAAGGGTGAAGAGAGATACCTGCCAGCTTCAGGGACTTAAGGACAGTCGGTGTGTATGGAAGACAGACTTCACTGATGAGACTGATTGTCACCTGGTGATGGGTGAAGAGAGATACCTGCCAGCTTCAGGGACTTGAGGACAGTCGGTGTGTATGGAAGACAGACTTCACTGATGAGACTGATTGTCACCTGGTGAAGGGTGAAGAGAGATACCTGCCAGCTTCAGGAACTTGAGGACAGTCGGTGTGTATGGAAGACAGACTTCACTGATGAGACTGATTGTCACCTGGTGAAGGGTGAAGAGAGATACCTGCCAGCTTCAGGGACTTGAGGACAGTCGGTGTGTATGGAAGACAGACTTCACTGATGAGACTGATTGTCACCTGGTGAAGGGTGAAGAGAGATACCTGCCAGCTTCAGGAACTTGAGGACAGTCGGTGTGTATGGAAGACAGACTTCACTGATGAGACTGATTGTCACCTGGTGAAGGGTGAAGAGAGATACCTGCCAGCTTCAGGAACTTGAGGACAGTCGGTGTGTATGGAAGACAGACTTCACTGATGAGACTGATTGTCACCTGGTGAAGGGTGAAGAGAGATACCTGCCAGCTTCAGGAACTTGAGGACAGTCGGTGTGTATGGAAGACAGACTTCACTGATGAGACTGATTGTCACCTGGTGAAGGGTGAAGAGAGATACCTGCCAGCTTCAGGGACTTGAGGACAGTCGGTGTGTATGGAAGACAGACTTCACTGATGAGACTGATTGTCACCTGGTGAAGGGTGAAGAGAGATACCTGCCAGCTTCAGGGACTTGAGGACAGTCGGTGTGTATGGAAGACAGACTTCACTGATGAGACTGATTGTCACCTGGTGAAGGGTGAAGAGAGATACCTGCCAGCTTCAGGGACTTGAGGACAGTCGGTGTGTATGGAAGACAGACTTCACTGATGAGACTGATTGTCACCTGGTGAAGGGTGAAGAGAGATACCTGCCAGCTTCAGGGACTTGAGGACAGTCGGTGTGTATGGAAGACAGACTTCACTGATGAGACTGATTGTCACCTGGTGAAGGGTGAAGAGAGATACCTGCCAGCTTCAGGGACTTGAGGACAGTCGGTGTGTATGGAAGACAGACTTCACTGATGAGACTGCCCACATTGGAGGGATGCATTGGCCGTCTGATGAAACAGTAAAGTTGACTGGATGTGTGGTTGCATGTCTGAAATAGCATGTGCTGTTTCTGAGGTCCAGGGCTTTATTTGCTACACCAAGAAATGTTGAATGAGGCAGTAATGGTTGAGTCTGTTCTTGTTGATACCGGTAGATGGATGACAACATGAGGGGGAGCTGTCTGCTGGGACATTGAACAGGACATTCATACTGGTAAATGGATGATTAGATGATCACAGAGCTAACATACTTATATAGATGTGAGAGAAAACCTCTTGCATGAAAAACTGATTGTCCCAGTACTTATATAGATGTGAGAGAAAACCTCTTGCATGAAAAACTGATTGTCCCAATACTTATATAGATGTGAGAGAAAACCTCTTGCATGAAAAACTGATTGTCCCAATACTTATATAGATGTGAGAGAAAACCTCTTGCATGAAAAACTGATTGTCCCAATACTTATATAGATGTGAGAGAAAACCTCTTGCATTAAAAACTGATTGTCCCAATACTTATATAGATGTGAGAGAAAACCTCTTGCATGAAAAACTGATTGTCCCAATACTTATATAGATGTGAGAGAAAACCTCTTGCATGAAAAACTGATTGTCCCAATACTTATATAGATGTGAGAGAAAACCTCTTGCATGAAAAACTGATTGTCCCAATACTTATATAGATGTGAGAGAAAACCTCTTGCATGAAAAACTGATTGTCCCAATACTTATATAGATGTGAGAGAAAACCTCTTGCATGACAAACTGATTGTCCCAATATTCTAGTTTTGTATTTGTTTTTATTTTGTGAACAGCCAAGTTTGTAGATGTTCCTCGGCTGCCGTCAGTGAGCATCAACCTGCACTCCAAAACAGTTACAGTCAATGCCAAGCTGTAGCAACATCCCAGACATGGTCTCAGCAGCGGAGAGCTTCATTCATCTCCTGTCATTTGTTGTCACCATCTGTGTGTCAGTCTTCACATGGTTCTGTTCTGTTACCCCTGTTACTGCCAGAGCTCTGTGGCTCTACAATACAGAGGGAAAGAGATAGAGGAAGATAGAGAGAGGAAGGGACAGAGAAAGAGAGCAAACAAACTTTGTTTTTAAAGGGTCACAAATTGGGCACGCAGGCCCGTCTTACATTCACCCCTTCCAGACACCCATCTTTCACACAGCAGTGAATGTTATCAATAAAGAATGCGCATGTACAGTAACTCTTAAATTAAAGCAGGTGTCTTCCTGCTTCATACCTCCCTTCCAATATTTCTAGACTCCCTAGAAGAGAGAGAGCAAGGGAGAAATAGCAAGGAAAATAGAGAGAGAAAAGAGGGGGGGGGGAAGAAAGTGAATGAGAGTTCAGGTTGGGAGGTATAGAGACAGACTCACTCACAATTTAATTAACATCTAATTCTGTATATGTGTTTGTATGAGCATTCTTTCTTCAGCATCAGTTGTGTGTCTTCTTTATCAGTTGTAGTGTGGCTTGCAGACACAAATACCATTAGCGTTTAATAACATTGTTTGTTGGCTTTGTGCCTAAAGAGATCAGTATTACCTTTATATACTACTTCACACAGGGCCTTGAACAAAGGGAAGGAGAAGAAGAAGAAACATATTGTGCAGATTGTTTTACAGTTAGCCATTGTATACTCTGTGGGGGAAAGAAAACAATGACAGGAGCCTTGATGCTGTGAGACCTCTGTAGTATATGGTGCTAGCCACAGGCTGCTCTAGTGGAGAGGGATTTTGCTGAGTGATCGGGTCAGTGTTCTGCTGGCTGCCTTACACTTCCCAAAACATTTTCTGGAACTTGCTTCAGGCCAGGCTGACATGGAAGCTAAGGTCAGTTTACAGTTTATCACTGCCCTGACAGATCCCTGCCTGGATGGAGGTGTGAGCATGCTAGCTACTGTATCACCTTGGCTCTCCTGTGATACGAGTACAGTCTAGTGAATCGGTCCGTTTTTAGAGCATTGTTTATCATGCTTGTGCTTGGATGCACGCAGAAATCCATCTTTTACTGTGTCAGAGATGATTGGACACAAGTGAAAGTGAAACAGACATTCATGCGGAAGTTGAGATGGAAATTAGGTAATGGTTGTAGGAAAATGTGTGCCTAGAGGTTAGAGTATAGATATGATTGCATTTTGTTTTTGATTCAGTTTTGTTTTAAATTCCAAAAGATTGATGGAAGGCAAAATAACCATTTGTGCTTCAGTTAAGTAGCATATTAGGTGCAGTTTGGCAACCTGTGTGAGAGTGACAGTAGTTGTATGTGAAATGTCATTAGTGGTGCCAGACTCAGGCTTGTTGTTAGTGCCTACTGCACTATCATTCAGCATAAATAATTTATTGTGGGTCAAATTTAATGACATCCATTTTCAGTAGTTTTGCAACAGATTCCTCTAACAGCTGAGTCACTGTCACCAAGCCCATACATGTCCACGACATGGTAAACCAGATCTTTCTCTCGGGCTAGTCAATATTTGTTGCTTGACCTGCTCTTGACGTGGCCATCTGCAACGAATCTTGTGACAATTCAGCCAGACTGGGTACAGGTACAGGGTACTGTTCATGTTGTTGAGTCACAGATTATTAGTAGACTGACTCTTATCTCCATGTGTGTGCTTGAAATAATTCA